GAGAGGAAAACATGGTCATGTCTTATCTCAGATTTTTTTTTTTTAAGCTTTCTCCCAATATTGCAAATGTCATAATGTTGCTGAAGGCGTCATCATGATTAAGGCATAACTGTTAGCGAGCAGGCAGCAAGCCAACCTATAACATGTTTTTGTTTTGGTTAAGAAAAATAACAAAAAATTAGATATTCTGTATCTTCCTTGGAACTTGTGAATGGATTATTAGCTATATGAACTCTAAATAAGTGAAAAAATTGAGAGCCAAATATCGTAAGGCTATGTTAGCTTGCCTCTTGCCTGGTACTTTGTAGTGTACGCAATATTTTGTTTCATTGTATGTTTAGTTATCATCAGTGACATCTGAAAATATTCTGCACTTGGAAGGTTAGGTTCTAAATGGATTCATTCAGAATTGTCTTCAAGGCTATTTCAGAGGTTTTTGTATATAATATATAAATTCAGCATACTTGATATGAGGGAAAGTTTGTTCTGGTGTGCAACAACGTATCTGTGTTTTTAAAAATGTGTTTGAAAAAAAATCCAAGCTTATTACTGGTATTGCATAGGAAATAATTTCTGTTATATCCCATGCAATGTAGATATGGCCATGGCAATACAATTATATTTGCTGCTGTATGCCTACATAGTTTTCAAAACTAAAATTCAATGCTTAGCTAAATTGCTAAGCAGACTGGTAAATGTCCAATTTTAGCAGCCTAGCATATGTTTATAATTTTTGTCTTAACATATGCTATGTTGGTTGAACTCCCCTCCCCACACATACGGTAGATAAAAGCTGTCACATCACAAAATGGTGGCAGCCCAACTTTTCTAACATTTTCCATGGCACTTCAGACTCTTGCATTAATTAGCTATTCCTGGATAGGAGACAGACTCTCATCTTTGTAGAATTTTGGTTTCAAACCCATCATGTGCTTCAGTTTATGTATGCAGTAGCCCATCTGTAATTTTGCAGCCAAAAACAGTAAAAAAATAAAAATGCTCACACACACACACAAAAAAACAACAAACAAACAAAAAAACACAACAGGGCATACCACAAAGTGGTCAATGAGCGTGAGGATGCTCTGTGTTCACAGATATAAATACCTAGCAAGTGGCACTGAAACCAGGCTGTTTGGTTTGTTGGGCTATGCTTTCCTCAAGCAAGAGCGTTCTCTGTCTTCCACTTTTCTTGGAGAAGAGATGATGGAATAAAACAATTCTGGTGCACAGGCCTTTTTCTTTTCCCTGTGAGCTGCTAGTCTACCCCTCTTTTTTCCTCCTTACAGAGGCAGGCGTAAGGGGTATTTTGCTGAGTGTATGATTGTTTCCTAAAACTCAGTGGAGTGGAGGGGGCTTGTGACAAATACCAGAGCATCAGTGACAATGCTGTCCTAATCCTTGCTGCATGTGACAAGGAAGCCTGGATTTAGATACGAAGACATTCCTAACATTTCAGCAGTATGATCCCTTACCTCATCCAACTGCCTTTTGAACATGCTCCAAAATCATGATGTTTTCTGGTACTTTGTTCAGCCGTTGCCCTACCTGCTAAGCTTGGAGCACAACATAGCAGTGTAGGCCTCAGCAAAGATCCTAGCTGCAGCCGCTGTTTGAGACATCTCGGCATGGAGGTAGAGGGGCAGGGCCATGGCCTTCACCACACAGTCATGTCTGGGTGCTGCAATGGTTGGGCACTCAGGACTGTGGCAGTGGCAGAGGCAAGGTAAGGAGCTGTGTGGCAGGAGATGGTGGGCCTGGCAGTTGCACGTCTGTCTGCCGCGCTTTGAGATGCCCCTCCAGGGGCTGCCTTCCAAAAACCCACCTCAACTCCCGGCCCTGAGTCAGAGCCACCGCCGGCCCAGAGCACACAACCCACTGGGTTGCTGGTGTTACCTTGCTGTCTGTGGATTGCAGATGCCAGTGGTGCTTGTTTAATGTTTATTTCCTCTTTCTGTATTTGTTTTTGTCTACAGGACTGCTGTCGTTTAGCAGGGTATGGTGATGAGCTGGCTAGCAGTTTTCACTGTGGAATTCAGGTTTTGTCAACCTGCACAGAAATTAGTTCTGTCTTACTGCCAAATAATAAGCACAGTGGAAACAAAGAAAGAAAAGGATAAACTTAAATTGTGCTTTTTTCACGCCTTTAGCTAGAAGTCTATAAAATATAGTTGTCTATTTATTACAATAAGCATAAGTAATTAACATATTTAATATTGATTATTTATTGTTAGCAGAAAGGTAAAGAGACCATTTATTTTCCAATGTGGATCTCCATCCTAGTAATTTTTTTATCGTTATCTGAATTTTTCTTCTATAATGTAATGGGTGCAAGCACCTGCCTTCTCAGACATTGGCTAACTCAGTAACTCATTAACTACATTAACTAATGTTGGGTTAGCCTTTTTTTTTTTTTTTTTTTTTTTTTTTTTTTTTTTTTTTTTACTACTGCTCAGAATATATTTTCTTTAGATTAGAATAGTAATGCAGGTAGTAAGGCAATTAAACTATTTCAAGCACAAGTATAATGTTAGGATAAATAGTCTGACATCATTTCATCTGTTCTTGCCCCTGCCCCCATACAAGTTTGTGAAGACTATATATATCACATGGTCTGAAAAATCAGCATTTCTAAAGTATCAGAGACTGAATAGCAGATGTCTATCTTAAAAATCATGAGTCTTAAAATGAAAAATAAACAATCGTCCCTTTTATTTTTTTCCAGAACTTTTTTTTTTTTTTCCCAATAAAGCTATAATCATCATCAGAACTGTTTATGTGAAAGTTAAATTTCTCATATGGTTGTCTGATTCTCAAAGGAATGGCATTTAGGAAAGCAGCAAACATCACGAGATTCACGATAAAATCACGAGAGTTTTTCATATATTACAGTTATGTATAAGTTTTGAATTGAATTTTTTAGAAAAATAAATGTATGGGCAGATGGTGATATTTACTTAGGGAAGCTGAATTCATTATCTGACTAGAACTGGATATTTCAAGCAGCTGTTTGAAAATGAGAACTCGGTTTCCATGAAGAAGAACGTATGTTTGGGGAAAATGGAGCATCTTTCTTCAAAATTTAATGCTGTCCCTCACTTAATCTATGTCAGAGGGCTTTGTGTTATGTGTGTGTGTGTGTGAATTCATCTATGGAAGAATCTTAACAAAATTGGCCAAGATCTAATTTGATGAAATAGTTCTTCAAGCTATAAAAAAAACAAACCAACAACTGAGCAGTCCTTCTTAAAAGTTCCAAAAATAGTTGAGTGTTTTAGCTGTTCTTTTATCTTAGACCCTCTTTCTCTCCTTTTTCTATAAATCTTTTTTTCCTTTAGACAACATAGTCAGTAACCTTACTATGCCCTGCCAAATCTAATTTCTGACTACCCAACTTGTCTTTATTTTTATTTAGTGAGATACAATTGTTTGTATCTCACTAAAAATAAAAAATAAATCTATAGTGAACATTCAAACATAAGCCAGAGGAAAAGAGACCAGGTATGCACAGATCCATTATCTTTTAAAGATCTGATTTTTGGTGTCCATGTATTCTAAAATCTGTCTATTCTATTCTCCTGTGTGTATATATATATATATTATATATATATTTATTTTTTATTTTTTTGCACATTTCTGTTATGTTGTTAAGTTTCTTTGGAAGGTTAGCCAGATACTGTAGTGCTGTTGTAAAGATGGAAACCTATCCCTTGAAGATGGTGATTTATTCATTACTTATGTCCTTTATTCTGACATTTTTTTTTAAGAACACTTTCACAGGAAATTCTTTCACCCAAGAACCTGTGGCACTGAATATCTTGACTGGTAGAGAAACATAGACCAATTCCTTGTTTGGAGCACATTCCTTTCCCCAGTCACTCAACTTCTGATGCCCGTTTTCCCATTCTGTAATAAGCAATTTGTAATGCTTAAGTATTTTACTGGAATCTATGCCAGTATTTACAAAGCCAAACTCTTGATTTTTCAAGTGCTTTTACATTCTCAGAATGGGCTTATGTGTTTAGAGTGCCTGAAGGTGTTGTGATCCTCAAAACTCCTTGTTTATGGAATTATCTTCAAGAACTACAAAGTAGTCCATGTACATGTATGAAGCACAGTTTGTTTCTAAACAGGGTGGATGTGTAAAGAGGGCCCTTTGACAGACACGTCCTGCAGAAACTTATAACTTCATTCACCTTCCTGATAATTGTCAAGCCTTCCTCTGGTGCAGTGGTATAAGCAGAAAAACTAAGTATTCTGGAAGCATTTGGAAAAGGGGTTTTCTGATCACCCTAAAACATTATTTCTGTCAACATGGAGTCTTTCTTGTGAGCCTTGTGCAGTGCTTGTCTGTGAACTTATTATGCTGTTTCCATGTAAATATACGCCTTGGCCATGTAAATATACAATTTGGCCATCGTTTTTCTCACTGTGGCTCAGTGGTTTGAATGGTTAGACTGTTTTTGTTTGACATTAAGTAGAAAATAGTGGTGGTATAGTGCGCGCCACATGCATTTGGTTTGTGTGGAATTCCTTCCACAGGGTCTGCTAATGCTGGAAGACAATACAACAATATGTTAATGCCTGGATTTTATTATAAACATGTCCCTGACTGACGAAGGGCATTGCTTAATTTATGAGCTTCTCATATGTCGTGTTCTGTTACTGCCTCATATTTTAACTGGATGAAAAAATGTTTTAAATATAATGCTTCCTCAGCTGCAAAGAGTTGCAATATTGTAATGGGCCTGAGACCAGGTCTAGTGATGTTAATACTGATACAGTTATGCAGAAGACTGTTAAGTGAACAAGCAAGCTGAAATTTGATCACAAGGATATTCCCCCTCCAATGTCAAAACAGCGATCTGTGACAGGAACTTTGTCATGTTAATTAAACAGACATTTGGATTTCACTTATCTGTGGGATGCTAGCAATTTCTGCAGTGAGATTGCAGATGCAAACTTTCAATTTTTTTTCTTTTTTCTTTTTTTTCCTCCAGGTTATAAGGGAGTTTGCAATGGCAATGCTCTGGAAATTCATGAGAGTAGCTAGGTATTCTAAAACAGCTTTACCACCGAAAGTGAGAGGAATTCCGGTCCATTCGAGGCATTTTTCTTCTTCCAAGTCTGTACCTTCAGATTTTGCTGCCAGCACAACCTGCTTAAATACTGTGGAACTGCTTGGTAAATCTTATCCCCAGGATGACTACAGCAATGTCACAGAGAAGATTCTTTCTAAAGTGGGGAAGAACTTGCATAACAAAAAGCATCACCCTTTGTGGCTAATCAAGGAGCAGGTGAAGGACCACTTTTACAAGCAATATACAGGACGCCGTGGGACTCCACTTTTTTCTGTCTATGATGGTCTTTCTCCAGTGGTTACAGTACAGCAGAATTTTGATAGTTTACTTATACCACAAAACCATGCCAGCAGAAAGAAAGAGGATAACTATTACTTGAATCGTGATCACATGCTAAGAGCACACACATCAGCTCACCAGTGGGACCTGATACACTCCGGCCTAGATGCCTTTCTGGCTGTGGGAGATGTCTACCGCCGTGATACAATTGATAACACCCACTATCCGGTCTTTCATCAGATGGAAGGAGTTCGGCTTTTCTCCTGTCATGAGGTAGGAATTCCTTAGTTGAGGTGAAAGAGGTTTGGGGTAAGTTGATCTTATTTGCTATTAGCAAGTGCATGCACATAAACGAGTTACCACACAGGTGTTATGCAGTACATTGATAAAGATCAAGTAAATGGTTATGGACAAATACAGGTGAAAAATGTGGAATTTGAAAACACCTGTAAAATTCCCTAGAAAAGTCTGGAAAAAATGAATGATGAATACCTTGAAAGCTAGCAAAATAAAGCGGTATCTGAAAGGAAATGGTTAGCTCATCTGTAGAGATCAATTCTCATTGTATCGCAAGTCCCTTCTAGTGAAGTCATTTTACCACAAACTTTGTCATATTAGTACTTGAAAGACTCATGGGTATGAACTGTTTCAGAATCCAGAGTGCAGTTTTTACTTTGTCATCTTTTTCGTTTAATAGCTCTAAGCTTCTGTAAATGAGTATCTCTTAATGAATTGTTCTATCCTTTACTTCATCCTAAAAACCATATTGAAGGATTGATCTGTTGCAGCTGTCAGTTATGGCTGTGCAATACGTACAGTGTAAACTCATGAGTTCAGAAGACATCAGGTAAACAGCGCTAGGTAGATGTCTAAGACTTCTGAGTGCATATATTTTGTTGGTACAACTTGCATGTTCTGTAAATGCTTGGGTGCCATTAAGTATTCTTGCTGTATCATGGATTAGTGTTATGTATAAGCCAGTTTGTTTTCCAAACAGTAATTGATTTGTATAATTTGTGTATGCTTGTAGCAATACTGCCAAATTCACATTTATATAACTAAAACTAGCTTATTCTAATAATACTGGGATGTAGACTGTTCTTAATGTAGTTGCCAATGGGTGACAGGAGCTTGGCAGGGAAGCCTGCTGGCTTTGGATGCCTGAGGGAAAACTATGGAAATCGCACTGCACTGCTTTTCTTACTGGTGGGAAAGGTTCATGCTGTCTGCACTGGTGCTTCCCACCCCACACTGCCGCTTCATTTTCCACTTTGAAAACATAATACCTGCTTTTGAAGATGTTCTGTGAGTGATATGATATCAAATACAGCTTGTAACCACTTTTCTGGTAACCTGGAAAGGGAAGTTTGCAGATTTATCCAAAATGATTTGTTTGCTGTTCTTTCACACGGGCTTGTTTGTGTGCATACAGAAGGGTATATGCAAGAGAAAAATGGATAACTTTATAAAAATGCCATATTTAATACTTTAAGTGCATCCAATTTTTTTGCTTGAGCACAAGTTCAGACATCCATGCATAAAGGCTTATCTGCCATAAAATAGTCACATCTACACTCTTACAGGATGGACTTTTGAATTTAGGTGGGACTGAAATTATTGTTAAAGAATATGTTTCTCAAGAAATTTTGGCCTTCGTGACAGAATATTTCTTTCTTCTGTGCAAATTTAATAACAAGAATAATAGGATTTAGTAAGTGGGAAGAAATTTACAGAAATGTTCACTGACATCATCTGTCAAGAAATACAGGATGTATAACAATCTGATTCATTTCATTATAGGTTGTTTCTTTATCTCTTCCCCCTCTCCTCACCCCATACAAGAATGATTGAGTTGTTATTGGATAATGTTAATAGCTGATGAATTTAAAGTTAGCTATGTGCTAACTAAAACTGGAAAACGTGTCTGTCTCTCTTGAGAGTGAAAGTCCTGTCAACTTTCTAAGCTGATGAACACAGAATAGTGGTATGGTGCACAGCATGTAAATTTTTGTTTGTTGGGCAACATGCACAAATTCTAAACCTGTGGATGATCTAAAACATCCCTTTCAGCTTCAGTTGCAGATGGAATACTGATAGACTTGCAATATGTAAAACTTCTTGCAGACATCATCACAAGAGCCTTGTAGAAAAAATTGAATGTAATTGTGAAATTTCACTGAAGATTTTGTGTTTTATATTCTAGTTGCCTGCTCAAAATAACTGACAAGTTTAAATAATTCTAGGAGTAACTGAGCAGAAAAATGATTAAATGAAGATAATACTACATGAAAGAAATATTTTTATATTCATTTATTTAAACCCATGTTTAAGTTATGACCCACTGAACAGAAGTGTGTGAACATCAGGGCCTGTTACATTCATCTCAGACTTTTCTTTCATAACCACACCATGGTCTCTGGCGAGGAAATTTTCCTAGTACAATGGATAAGAAGGTATACAGCGAAAGGGAAAAAACAATCTGCTAGCCCTTGGCTACAAGCCGTAGTTTACTTGTCTCTTTCTCAACGAAAGTGATCACAGAATTGGAGTTGGGGCGTGGTGGTCAACAAACCTCAAACCCCAGAATGATTTTCTAGGAACTTGAATTTTGAACTATATGTTCTGTGTTTTATAGCAATTAGGTTTTATTAAATACATTCCTTTGGAGATGGCAGACTTGCCTGGAACTACCCCTAGGCATGCATTTACTGTTGAACACAGTAGTGTTGGTATGTTTTTGTTTCTTGTTTGTTTGCTTGAGCACACATAGGCTATTTTATCAACTTCAGGAGGTTTGGAGAAGTTTCCTTGTGTTCAGCTGTTTCAATACTTCACACTAATCTTATACAGGCCCTCACTAGAGAAAGCAATTTGTACCAAATATTTAGCATGTAAAAATAGTTGCAAAAAAAATAACCAATGGAACAAAAAAGCAAATGCTGTTCTTTTTTATATATTCCTTTACTATTTTCTAATTGTATGAAGATGGGGATCAGTATTTCCTATTGATAATGGCAATTGGGTTAAAGCTTTCTGTGTCTGGATAAGTAATGGCAGGCTTTATTTGGAAACAGTCAAGCTAAAGCAGGCCTCTGCAAACAGTTTGAAAGTTCAGACTGGTATATCCCACATAGCTCAGACCGTATGTCATGTGGAACATGTGGAACAGGGTAGATAAAGCTGCAATTTGCTAGGTCCTGCATTTTGGCCACCTAACCTTACCCATAAAAGTGATCTAGAAGAAAGCTGGAGAGGGACTCTATCAGGGAGTGTAGCCAGGGAACAAGGAATAATGGCTTTGAACAAATGTAGGGGAGATTTAGATTAGATGTGACGTGAGGGAAAAATTCTTCACTCAGAGCACAAAGCGCACATGGGAATTAGGGCTGAAGATGCACCTTGCTTGTGTTCGTTTCCATAAAGAATAGAATGAAATTACCTAAAAACAAGTGTTAAAAATAAACTCAGGGCACAGGATGGGAGGTGCAGGACAGTCCCTGTGGCCGAGGGGCAGTCTTTCTCTCTGGCAAGCCAAATGACCCAGGGGAGCCAGCCCCAGAAAAGGGGCCCTCAGCCCCCCCAGCCCTCCTCCTTGTCCACATGAGGGCATCTTCCAGGCTGCTCCCAGCACAGCCACCTTTGGCCACGCATGGGCCACTCCATCAGAGGCTTGCTGAGGTCACCACAGTGGCCACTACTGCTCGTGGGCCCCATAAAACAGGCCCCCTGCAGCTGGCCCCACCACTCGCTGAGCATCTCAGCCCTCTGACTGCCAGCTTGTGTGGCAGGAAGGAGAGCAGGAGAGCGAGGCAAGTGGCAGGCCTCTTGGTGTGTGAGGACGGCGATGCCATCTGGTGAAGCACCAGGAGGGAACGCTCCTGACTGGAAGGAAAGGTGTCGTGGGCGGACGGATAGCGCCAGTGGCACAAGAGACACCAGTGCCCAAGGGACCTCTGGCGCCCAGCCCACAGACACATACAGGCAGTATCATTGGCACCGCAGTGATGCAGGGAACAGGCTGGCCCCTCAAACACCCAGCAACAGGGGGGCCTGGGCCTTGCCATAGGAGCAACAGTGATGTGGAGTGAGGGCAGAAGCATCAGACAGAGAGCCGCAGGGAGCAGAGGTGTGCCCATAGTCCAGGACACAGTGCGGGACCCAGTAATGACCATAAACCAGACAGCACCGTCAGACCCATGCATGAAAATCAAGCCAACAGTGGCATGGGACTGAGGCATGGGACTGGATGGTCCCCTGGTTCAGCACCCTGGCCTGAGAACATTCTGGATGGAAGGCATCCCGTGTGGGCAGTCCCAGGCACGGACTGGCTTGTCCTTCTGCCAAACACCGTGGAGCCCATGGAGCTGGGTCCACAAGAAGAGGTGGAGGAACCAATGGAAGTGGATCCACCTCGGCCAGAACAGAGCTGGGACTACCAAGCATGTCTTTGTGCTCTGCCATCCGAGAGCACCAGCAGCATGGCAGGAGTGCCCAGCAAGCCCCCTACTCGTTGCTCAGGCTCCATTGCAAGCATTAACCTGGAGCCAACAAACACCATGGACATCCTGCAGGCTTACCTGCAAGATGTCCTGGCAATAAACAATTCTTGCCAATTCTTAGTGGTTGTGTGGGTGCGCCAGGGGAGGTTTAGGTTGGATATCAAGAAGAACTTCTTTACCAAAAGAGTTGTTAGGCATTGGAATGGGATGCCCAGGGAAGTGGTTGAGTCACCATCCCTGGAGGTCTTTAAAAGATGTTTAGATGGAGAGCTTAGTGATGTGGTTTAGTGGAGGACTTGTTAGTGGTAGGTCAGAAGTTGGGCTAGTCTTGAGGTCTCTTCCAACCGAGGTGATTCTGTGAATTTGCCATTTTACCTCAGTTTGGGAGTGGAAAAAAAAAATGAGTCCTCTGCTGAAATTTTAGGTAGGATAAGGAAGATGTAGAAGTGTCTCTCCTTTACAAATACAAATTCTGTAGTCAAGGCTGGGTGAAAACTTTTGTCCTTTGAAACCTTTGCTATAATTTTTCATACTGTCAAAGTTAAAATTCCAGAAGTAAGAGCTGGAAAAACAAATCATGGGTAGAAGTTTTGGAATTTTAGTGTTCTCCTCTGTGATCTCCTTATCTAATTGCTTCTTTGGCTGTACAGTTTTCATGATGGTTGTTTGGCTGTTTTTTTAAGACAGAAGTAATGTGTAATTGGAAGATGGGCAGGTAGCTGATGCTTTTTGCAGCTTTGCATGATTTCAAGTATTAGAGAAATTCCTATTTTC